GCGCCGCGCCGCGCAGCCACCCGACCAGCCCGCCGCCGCCGCTTTGGCGCTGCGCGGCGGCGGGCGGCGGGGCGGAGGGCGGCGGCGGCGGCGGCGGCGGGCTGGGCAGCAGCAGAGGGGTGGCGCCCGTCCTGTGTGTTGGTTCAAATGGGGCAGAGCGCAGGCGTTGTCATTATGTACGGCTCCAAAACCATTTCAGCAGTGCTGCTGCTACCGATCAGGCCACGTCAGCAGCGCGTGACGGGCCGCTGGCAGCCCCTCCACCACCCTCCCACAGCAGCGTTGCCGAGCTCACCCTCTGCAGCAGGGGCGCCGCCCCCTCTCCTCCGCCTAGAAACCTCACGAGCAACGCACCCCCGAGCCCCCATCAAGGCCCAGCCCACGGAGGGAACCCCCTTCTCCCCTGGCTGCCGCCCACCTCAGTGAATCCAGAGTCCCGGCTCTGGCAGGCATGACCCCAAACTCCAGCCACGACGGCAGCACCGGCGACGGCCCAACCTTCAGGTGCCCGCCGCTCGCGCCCCGCGGCACCGCCCACACGTCCGCCCAAAGCGCCGTGCCGCTCGCAGGCGCGACGAGCTCGAGGCTGGGCGTCCGCTCCGCAAGCGGGACCAGGTCCTCGGAGGTTCCCACGACCGCCCAGGTGTCCCCCGCCATGAGCGTCCGCACGTGGTCGCGGTCGCTGAACGCGCGCGCCTGGCGCAGCAGCGCGCGGACGCGGGCGCGCGCCGCCGCGCGCGGCACGCCGGCGGCGGCGAGCGCCGCCGCGTCCGCATTAAAGCCCAAACCCGCCGCAGCGGCGGCGGACAAGGACCCCTCTTCCGATAACGACTTCAGGGCAATCCCGACGAACTCACGGGAGGATGCGGAGAACGCAATCTTCCCCCTGAGCTGGGGTTGCAGCAGGTCGGCCCAGCCGCGCACCGGCCGGCCGCCGCGGCGCACAAGGAGGTCCTTCTTATAGGCGACGAGCGTCGCGCCCCACCGGTAGGGGCAGCCCCAGACGTCCCCATGCGGCGAGGGGCGGCCGTCGGGGCCGCGGCGGACGAGCTGCTGCCAGCGTGGGGACAGGCGGCGCCACCACCTGGGGCGGCCGCACAGGCGGGTGGTGGTTGAGGTCGCGAGGAGGACATCAGGGTGTGTACGTGCGAATGTAGGCGGAGATGGAGGTTGTGCGCATCTGATAGCCCCGGGGGGCTGAACGCGGCGCGGCCGGGGACGGGTTTTGCTGTTTTGGCGGCACACGCAGCAGCCTTCTGCCATGTGCATGACGGCCCGCTGGCTGGCCTCACCGGTACGTCTCTGCGGAGGGAATGGGCTGCAGCAGCCCCTGCTTGACGGCCGCGCCCAGCCACGCGTCGCCCAGCGTCACCACGTCCGCGGCCCCTGGCGGTGACGCACAACAGGAGGGGTTGTGAGGAGGGTGACGGCAGCATGCCTTGCCCCAGCCGCTGCCCTGCATACTTGCCGCGGCGCCACGCTGCACCACCCAGCCCTGTATGACTAATGGGGATCACGCCTTCCCCTTTTCGCATTTTGACTCACGCTTCTGAACTCCCCTGCTTCCAACTGCTACGGCACCGACGACACACGCCTGCAGTTCTCATCCCACCTCCATATCAGCAGCCGCGCATCACCCACCTGCGCTCCTCTTGGCCTTTGGGTCCTTCAGCTCGTCAAATATCTCCTGCAGCTGCCCCCTCTGGCCCAGCTCAAAGCTAGCATACCTGAGGTGTTGGATTGCATGCAACAGATCACATGAATGCTGACCACATGCGGGAGGTATGGACGTGCAGTGCGCCGAATCTACTTTGATTATGCGAAGGCGGCTGGGCATATGCGGGCAGGCCAGGGGCGCAACTGGAAAACGCGACCGGCGCCGGGCGCCACAATTTGAGCCGCCCAGCAGAATGGCCGAGGCATGCAACCACGCACGCGAGCCCCAGCGGTTACACAACAACCCCCCCCCCCTGCCTGACGGGCTTGCAAGGCGGAGCGCCCACGCATGACTCAGCTGCCGGCACCCACCGCCCGAGGCCTTGCCGGAAGTCCAAGACCCACTGAGTGGGCACGCTGCCCCTCAGCGCCACGATGCTCAGTGGCATGCCGTGCTCATATGCCTCTACAGAAGTGCCGTCGCGAAGGACGACCTGCGGATGGCGAGTTGGTGCATGCACATGCATGCGTTCGCATGCCCATGCACGTGTCACTGCATGCAGGCTGATGCAAGTGCATGCGGAGTGCATGCATTTGCGCACGCGTGCACTTTGACTTGCTGGCACGTGCGAGCTTGTACCCACAACCGCAGCTCACAGAGTAACAATGGAGCTGGATAACATGGACCCCAGCTGTCAGTTTGCATGCATTCAAAATTTGGGCCTCCAGAACAGGTCAATGTACAATGCAGGGGCAGCATTGCTTCTGGCGTCTGGCTGGCTGGTTCTGCGGCGCCCCCTGAACCCTCAAGCACTCTCACCGTCTGCACAGCGCCCGCGGGGCCGGCGGCCGCGGCGGTCGCTGCGGCAGCCGCGCCAGCACCCAGCACGACACGCCGCGAAGACGCGGTGGGCACGGCTGGTACTTCTTGCAGGGCCACGTCTGCTGGTGCATCCCGGCTGCTGTCCAGTTGCGTCCCTTGCAGATCCACGCTCTCGTGCTGCGGGTTGCTGCTGCTGCGCTGCAGCCACCGCCCCCTGGATCGATGCAGCAGCGATCCAGGACACTCCGTCCGCAGCCGCTGCCGCTGCAGCGGCCGTGCGCCGCAGCGTCCACGACATGGCAGCATGATGCTACTGCCCAGACGCGGCTAAAAAACAAAAGTTCTTATCAATGCATATCACACTGTATGGACTCGAGAGGCGATTGAGGGGCTAGCCTGATCTAGATAGATCAAACCGTATCTGGGGATTAATAGCTATCAAATCGGCAGACATGTAGGGATAGAAATACCATGTCAGCGGAAACCGTTTAAGTACGAACGGTAGCGAGCCGTGCGAAAGAAGCAACCTTGCGTCAGAGCATCCTCATTGACTATACTTTTGATACCTTCCTGTAGGCTCAACGCTGCACGTGCACGTTCGTTCGAGCGGCGATGAGTCTGGGTGACATGGCAACGTTTGACCCATCCCTTGAGAGTGTGCGCAATGGCTGCCATCACGTCAGCGGCTCGCTTGTGTGCCATGCCTTAGGAACGATTGGTTGGAAAAATTACTGGGCAATTTGAGTAATCATAGAAACATACCTCCACTGCCTTCGAGTCGTGGTCAGCCCTGGCCAACTCACAGGGGGCACGGAGCAGCAAGTGTGCGGCAATCACCAGAGTGCTCAAAGCGAGTGGGGTGTCCCTGATAATGATGGGTCTGATTCCTACCTGGACAGCGCCGCTCCCCGCCTGCCTGCAGGCAGGCCAGATGGCAATGCGCCACGCTGCATGGCCACGGCAGGTGTGGCAACACAGCGTACTATGGCACATTCGAAAAGAAATGAGGACTTCAGATTTTGACATGCCAGAACATGATATGTGCTGACCTGCTCTGCAGGCGCTTTAGGCGCGGGAATTGCCAGGTGTCGCGCCAAGCGAATGGATGCCGGGCGATGCAGCTGCTACCCTAACCCAGGCAAAGGCGGCGGGGCCCCTGCAGCAGCTATGGGAAGCGTTCGTGCATGTGCTCCTAGTGTTGAATTGTCAAGGGTGACCCTGCTTTGGATGGTGCCTATCCCGCTGTGCGTCGAGGCCGCGCGAGCGTGGGGCGCCGCTGTGGCACTCCTCACACATGCTGAGCCCACTTGGCTGCCAGGCTGCGAGCACTTGTCGTGCAGTTGCACTGCAGCACACGCTTTAATCTTACTACGGATTATGTATGAAAGAGCATGCCTGGACTTCAGGGAGGTTGCGATTGGACGGCTGAGGCCTCACCTGTCAGCCTGCCTGCTGCCACCGCCACTCTCCTGGAGTCACTTGGCCAGCAAACTCATAAACCGCCATCCTGCCCGGGCGCAAACCCCTGTTACTGTCGCTTAGAAATTTCGACATGTATATTGTCTACAACATGAGTTTTTTGTACAAGTAGCGGCGGAGGCTGCAGAATTGTTTCGGCTTCGGCCCGCTGGGGTCCTCGGAGTGCTTCGAAGGCGAGGGCACCTACGTAACAGACGGAAGGCGAGTGCATGTAGAAAGCTTGTGACGATTCAAAGCGCCCATCGTGCCGCCGGCGCGTGCACATGTGCCCCCACGCCATCGGCGGACGCGCCAAATTGTGCGTTTGATGCTGCAAGTGCACTGCACTGCTGTTGCATGTAGGCTGGAGCGGCCGGATGGTTCAGCATACACCATCAACGCTCCGCCTTACAGGAGTATTGCCACCGCGCCGCAACACCAGCAGCTGCCACAGCAGTGAGCGTGGCGGTTGAGAAAGTGCGTATGCTCTCCCAACTGTCGGCCGCCTGGTTGGCCAACCCGTGGCTGCTATGGGGCGTCGGCCCCATGGTAGCCGTGGCCGCCGGCTTCTTTGTGACCGCCGGCATTCTAGAGGCCCTCATCTCGACTGGGTGGTTTGACTCGGCGCTGATTGTGTACCCAACCCCCGGCGGCAAGCCAAAGAGCAGAGCAGAGGGCGTGGCAGAAGTGCAGGTGCGGCCTCTGATGAGCATGTACGCTTTGGCAGCTGCAGGGGCCCTGCAGAAGTTTGCAAGGCAATTTCAGGCTTGCAATACGTGCTGAAGCAGAGAGTGCGGGCGGCTGTGACCGCCCTGGCCGCCCACGCGCTTGCGCTGCCAAGCGACGATCACACAATTTTGAGAGTTCGCATGGTATTGTTTCACCCCTTTTGGGGAAATCTTTGTCATGGCAGGCCCGCATCCCTTTTGGTAAGCAGCTGTGGCGGTCGACGGTCACCGTGGCCGGGCCGGCCACCATTGCCAACGGGCTGGCCATGGTGCTCGTGATGACATCATCGTACGGCTGGGGCCCGGTCGCGTCTTGGTGGGCGGCGACGCCGCTGCACTTTGCGGCGCAGTTTGCAGTCATGCTGTTCGTCAACGACTTTGGTGAGTGGTGAGACTGAATACACGGCTTTGGCCTCCCTGCATTGGTCCACAGATGGTGGAACCAGGGGGCATCAGCACCAACAGCTGCACCTGCTCGCTGCTCGCCAGCATGCACCCTGCCGCCGCGGCGGAACCAACACTGGCTGTGTGTCTGGCGATGTCGCACTAACCAAAATCCAACAAGAGCCCTCCCTGCCTGCTTGTCGGGCGATCATCAATGCGGCTGGGCACGCACGCACAGGGCTCTACTGGGGCCACCGCATACAGCACGAGTCCGCCTTCCTCTGGCGCTTCCACCGCGCGCACCACCGCATCGCGACGCCCACGCCTGTGTCCGTCATGTGCATTGCCCAGCTGGACGCCACGCTCCAGGGCGGGCTCCCCATGGCGCTCGCGGCCGCGGCGGCGCGGCCGTGCCCGGCGGCGCTGTGCGCGTTCTTCTTCTACAGGGTGGCCGAGAACACGCTCAACCACTCGGGGCTGGACAGCCGCCTGCTGGACGCGCTGTGCCTCAAGGCGCTGCCCTTCCGGGCGCCGGCGGCGTTCCACGACGCCCACCACAGGTCTGGGGCGCCACCCCTGGCTGTCTGCTCATCTTCCAGCGGGGCTTTGTGGGCATGCCCACGCACGCCTGCAAAGCCACTGGCTGCTGGCAGCTGCTGGCAGATCTCTGCTTTGGCGGCGGGATGCTCATCAGCGGTGGCGGGCGGGGCGACCTGCAGCCTCGCAGCCGGGGGGGCTCTAGCACCTCAAGCCGCCCTGGCTTGACACGCGCCCCTGCCAATCAGCCCTGCTGCTATATGGCCGACGTATCATTTGTCTCGTATTGAAACTCCCAACACCCCTCAACCCACTGCGCATGCCGCGTCCCAGGTACTCCAACCACGCGCACAACGCCAAAAACTACGCCGAGTCTTTCTGGATATTTGACTGGGCGTTCGGGACCCTCAGCCCACTGGTGGGCAAGCCCCAGGGTCGGGCCTCGAAGCAGGCGTGAGCTTGCTCTTGCCCCGGCGGCCACGTCACTGCGACACTAGTGGGGCAGTGCTGTCGGAGACGCGGTGCCGTGTGCGGCCGCCCAAAGCGTGAGGCTGCTGGTGCATGTTGTGACGAGAGGGTCTGAGGGTATGTGGGCATGTTGGCTGCAAAGTGATTGACCGGCTCGACTCATGTATTGCATGGGACCTCGCGGCAGACGGGTCCATCTTGAGAGCCATTTTTGCACACAAGTTGTGTGTGTTGGTACGTGGGTCGAACCTGCTGATGTGTATGTTGACGTTTTTGATGTGTGTGTTCTGGACTGCGACGCCAAACGGCAGACACGCACGACGAGCAGCGAAGCCCGCAACACCTGCGGGCCCCTTCATTTGGGTTTGATCCTTCAATGACGTCATCACGACCATGGGAATGAAAAAGCAGCAGACTTGCAGGGCCCACGTGCAACCATGACTTCCGCTACTGCAGGTTGTTCTTGTGGCAGCTAGGCGTCGCAAGTAATCGCGGTTTTATCTTGGAGCAGGGGCATGTGCACCTCACTCATTGTCTTTGTGAATCCTGTAAATGAGCATGGCTCCGGTCTCAGACTACCTGGCTGGATTGGCAGCGTGATAATCCGACATTTTCTTGGGACTAGAAGCCGGCAGCGGCAGCGCGACCAAGTGACTCCAATGTGCAAGCCAGGGCGCAGTGCCAGGCCGGCAGCGAGGCAGCATGCAAGCAAGCGCTGACGCCAATGATAATGCAGCCGCTCGACAATTCCTGACAAACGGTGATTTACAAATAGCTCCTGATCTACAAGGCGGCTACGTAGCCGTGTGCCAGCAGACACATGAGGCATTGGCTGTTGTTGAAGTAGGCTGTGACGAAGCACGACTGTGGTGCTTTGTTGGGATAAGCCTTCTGCTCAATCACACTCTATTTGAAGGACATAAAACCACCAGCAATCGGCTAGCCGATCACACATTATCAGGTTGGGCAATGAGTGCATGTGGGTTGTGACAAACATAACAGATCCAGCTATAGCAGCAGCTGCTAGGCAGGCCAAGCCGAGCCATCACATGCGGACATCCCGACTCAACAAGTTTGTTCATACTGCACGCAGGCAAATTCTCAGCTAGGAGTTCTCGCGCCTTGGAGGGCGCCTGCACGATGTTTTGAGGCCGCCCCAATGACCATATGCTCTTGACGCTCACAGCACCTACCCCCGCCAATCGGGCGCTGCTCACCACGCAGCAATGCTGCGGCTGCCAAAATCTCTCCAGGAGGTCGCCCTGCTCCCAAGTCGTAAAGCCCTCACACTCACAAGCACAAAGCTGCCATGCTTGCAAGCGGCACGCCTTTGATCACTTTAGGTTGCACGGCGGAGCGCCTGGGCGGCGCGGCAGGCTTCCCTATGGCCGCCGCGCCAGTCTTCTCTCTGCGAGGAGTCACAAACAGTCCAGCAGGGCGATGTTGCCGGCGTCAATGGGATTCAGATTGCACGTGATTTGTCTGCAGGTACCGTAGCGTCACATTGCTAAGGGCGGCTGCAGGTTTTCCGCATGCGGCGCATGCAGCAGGTTGCACGATGCAGCGCGGCTGGATGGCATTCGTTGTTTCGTGGGTCCAACACTGGGCAAAATCGAGTGTGCATGCCTGTCATTCCTGCTAGACTGCAAAGCCACGGTACCGGTATGATGCATGGAGGAATTCATTTCTCCTCTCCGAACCTCTGTCCAAACCGCCGCCATCCAATCAACCCACCTGACACTTCTTGCTGCAGTACAGCAACTGCAAATGGACGTGTCGAAGGGTTTTGGGGATTGCTTGAACCGTGTTCATAAGGATTCTCTAGTGCTGGCCAATAGGCGGAGTGCCACATAGCATGAGTTGATGTTTGGTCTTCCTAATCTGGTCATCTCCCCCTGCTCAGGCAACACACACACACGCGCACGCATGCACGCACGCCGCACGCACACACTAATGCGCCGAAGGCCGCGGGTGATTACCAAAACGCGCAACAGCAGTGCTCGCCTGGAAGCAGCCGCTGCAGCGGCGCAGCTGCCCGCCGGGGGCGTCCTCCTTGCTTCGCCCGCACCGCGCGCACGCCGCCGCCGCCGCCACCAGCCTCTCCTGTGGCACCCACCCAGCCAGCGCCGGCCGCGCCGCGGCGGCCGCCGCGCCCTCGGGCGACGCCCTGGCGACGGCCTTGACGATTATGCGAACAGGGTCAGCAAAGTCATCGCCGCCGCTGCCGCCGCTGCTGCCGCCGCCGCCGCTGCCGTTCTGCGCCTCCAACCACCGCGCCAGGCCGGCCGCAAGGTCCTCGGCCGGCGCCTGCAGCAGCTGGCGCAGCAGGCCGGCGCGCAAGTGGGGCGGCAGCTGGGCGCTCAGCAGCCCAGCCAGAAGCAGCACCGCGTCTGTCTCGTCGTCTTCCGTTCCCACATCTGCGTCGCCGCGGCCGCCGCCGCAGATCATTTCAGCCGCCGCCGCCACCGCCCCGTCCGCTTCTCCGAGCACGGCCTCCGCCGCCGGCCCCGCGCCGTTGGCCGCTGTGCCGTCAAACGCGCGGCCCCGGAAGCGCCACGCGCGGCCCTTGCTGTCGCGGCCGGGCGCCGCGTTGTGGCGGGTGACTTTCGCGGTCGGAAGAAACGTCATGATCCCATAGACAGAAAACTCGTCCAAACCCTCGATTTCAAGAGTTACGCAGCCGTGATCCCCCACGGCCAGCATCAAACGCGCGGCGCGCGCCATCCGCTCGCGCGTCTCATGGGCGGACAGCGGCGCGCGGCAGACAGCGGCGCGCAGCAGCCGGACCAGCAGCGCGCGCGTCTCGGCGGGGCCCGCGGGGTCGTTTGCGGCACCCCGCGGCCCTGGTGGTGGCGGCGGCGCGGCGGCGAGCGCGCGGAGGACGGCGCAGGCCTCGCGCACTGCGCCGCCGCTGAAGAGGCTGGCGGCGACAGCTTCGTCGTGTTGCGCGGCGGCCTCGAGGCCTTTCAGGGCGCTTCTCGCGGCCGCCGCGACCTGGGGGCGACGCTCGGCTGCGGCGGGGGCCAGGTGCACGATCAGATCGATCATGTCGCGGGGGTGGAAGTAGGCGGGGCGCACGGCTGGCAGCCGCGCGGCGAGCTCGGCGGCGCGCGGCGCGTCGCCATCCAGCAGCGCCGCCGTCAGCTCGCCGAAAACGGTGTGCATGCCGCTGCGCCTGTCAAAATGGACCGTCGGCCGGGGTTCAAGTTGGCTGCCGCCGCCCAGGGGCCTCCCAAAAGTGGCGCGGATCATACTGCCTGCACAAGGCAAGGCTGCTCAGAGTTGATCAGTGCGTCCTAGTATGCCTGTTGTGCGGATAGTGCCCGTGGCCAAGGTTGGAGCTGTTGAGTGTTTACAGGCGTGAGTGTATACACTGGCTACGATCAAGCAGACGAAGCGTCGAGACTGCCGAAAGACGTCGCCGAGGACGCTCTCTGACCACGCTTGCCCATCAAACAAGCGTGTCCTGCTCAATGATTGCAATTTTTTGGTGTGGTACTACACGCAGGCTCTGCGACATGTGATCACTGTGCCCAATGCTTGTTGTGGTGATCTGCTCTAGTCTTGTTTAGCTGGCACCCACAATATTTGTGGAAAATCCATGATCTGCCAAACCAAGGCTGGGGTTCAGCCTTGGTTGCCTGCACGGCCCTCTTGGCATGCCCTTCAGCGCGATTTGCAGCGGAACGCACCACAACTTCAGCGGGTTGACATTGCCGCTGCGCGCCCGCAACGCGCCGCCGACCTCACCGATGCGCTGCCCTCGGCACACTCGTCTCACGTCAACCCAGCCCATGTGATAGACGATATCATGCACCTGGCGCTAGCCGCGGCCGCGTGCCGCCCTGGGATAGCGACAACAGTGAGGGCGGCCCCCGCGGGACGCTGGAACAATCCTAATCCTCGCGGGCCGCATGTGCGGCCGCGCTCTGCTCTGTGTGTGACCGCAACGTGACGCGGCGCCGAGCTCGTCAGCGACGGCGCAGACCAGCCGGCGCAACCGGCGGCCCCGACGCCGCCGCCGCAGCACCACCCCAGACTGTCGTGGATGTGGCGGCGGGCGCCGGCATGTCGTGCCGCCCCCCCCTCCCGGGGTCCGAGGTGGTCTGCAAGCCGTTACACGCTTTTTTGACCCCCTGTCTGCCGCACCATGCCAGGTGCGGCAGGTGACGGCAGCGCAGGCACGCCCTGCCCCCGCCGCTAGCTGTCGCCCGCCGCCTCTGGCGTTGCTTACGATAAGGCAAGCCCCGACACGGGCCAGAAGGAGCATCTCGCCACCTAAGCCCGCCAGCCACCCGGGCCTGTGCAGCTGTTGTAAGCAGCGATGAGCAACGTGGGTATGGGGCCAGAACGCGAGTCAGAGGCGGTGCTGCTGCTGGCCGGCATGCTCAGTGCTGCCTTGCCGGCCGCATCGCCCACCATCCCGCTGCGTCAGCAGCTCTGGTGGCGCCGGACAACGCGCGGTGGGCGGATGAGCAGCGGGGCGGTCGCGGGGTTGGTGTTGCCGGTCGCGTTCGCGCGGAAGCGACAACGGCACAGCGTTGTCCTGTTCCTGCGCGCGTCATCCTCACGGGGGCGGCCGCTACACCGCCCAGAGGCCGGTAGACTGGCAGCCCAGCCGGTCGAGTGGGCGCCGCGTCAGCGTGCACGCATACAGCTACGGCACGCACGCCCTGTGGCTAGAGTAAGGACGTCTCGCAGCTCCCGCGGGGGATTGGCCCGCCCGCTGCGCTGGCCACTCCAAGTGGCGAGTTGCTTTTCGGTTTGTAAACGCATCGGTTTTGGCTTTGTGGGTTTAGCGGTTTACCATGCACAGAGTTCTGTCCAGACCACAGTTGACACTGCAGCAGGTCAATGGCGCTAGATGCTGCAGCGCTGCCGCCCCTTTCAATCCGCCAGCAGCATCCGTCTGGACTGAACCTCTTCTGCTGCAGCTCTGGCCGACCTTGCATTGCTGCACAACCCTAGCCTCGGGTGATTGAAGGGGCTTCAGGGGTCAGTGCCGGAGGACGCCATCCTTGCATTAGCAGGTGCGGGCGCTCAGGCGCTTGCACGCATGCATCTCCATGTTAATGTCGACCTGCCGGCGCATCACAGCCACACGAACCCGGCGCCCAAGCACCGTGTCCTTGCAAAGCTGTCGTGCACAATGGGGGCCGGTGTGCAGCGGGCGCCGGGCGCGGCCTGTGGCCAGGGAGCCCGATGCATTGCTGCCGAGACTCACGCGCGCGCCGGAAAACCCTCGCCACGTTGTGTCAAGGGCAACACTGATGTTCGAGGCACCCCCAGGTGACGTGACCTGCGGCAGCCTGTGAATCATTGCAACACGGGCAATCGCAATCCAAACCATCTTGGTCGCGGCCAGCGGCCAGTCCCACAGCTTGCACTCGCACGCATGCCGAGAGGCGTGCGCCGTGCTGATGGTTGTCAGAAATCGGACGAGGCCGATTCAGCGGGGCTTCATGAACTTTTGACACCTGCCAGCCCGCGCAGAGGTGGCCCAGATGCAGTATCAGGTGGGTGGCGCCCCTGCGCCCGAGCCCTGCCCGAGGTTGCAATGCGGTCGCCGCCGCGACCGCAGGGTTTTCTTCTTGTGTTCCTGCGCAGGCCGCCCCCGTCGGCACTTATGATAGCAGACTGCTCAAACTTCTTTGTTTCCCCCCTCAAATGCTGCAGGGCTTGCTTGGCCAGTGCTCCTGTGCAAGGGACTATTGAGCGGGACAGCAGGCGGACGGGAACAGTTGACGGCTTGTGTATGGTGCGGTAGTGAAATCAAATTTGCATTTACGCTGATGCACGTAGCGGGCTCCTCAACCCTGCACCCGCCTCAAAACTCCCGAGACGTCTGTCACCAGTGTGCACTCTCAGGTGTGTGCAGGATCGATCTAAGCAGACGACTCGCTATCAGCAAAGGCAGTGTCACCGTAGCACAGGACGCGCTTCGAAAATTACATCCAGCCACCGTTTCTTGGCAGAGCAATCTTGGTGATCTCAAGTGCAGCCCGGAGGCACCAGGACCACGATCCTCCACACCTCTCACTCACAGCTGGATGCAGCAACTTTAATGTCATTGTGGCAGCTGTGTCGCAGGCCGCGGGGGGCTTGAGTGCCGAAGAGGATTCAATCAACATGCTGAAGTGAGTTCGCGCCCTGTGGCTGTATGTGGGCCAATGTGCGTGGAGAGCAGAACTTGGCTTATCGCAAGCCACAGGCCCACCTGGCTGGGGCGGGCTGCTCTAAGCACGCACTGAGGGCGAAGTGTACCCGAACACACCCTCTTTTGGCTTTGCTGGGCTGTCGTGACCAGGTCTCTTAAGGCCAAGGTCTCTGGAAAGAAGAGCGCCAAGGAGGACGTGTCGTCAGCGACTAGCAGCAGCAAGGCGGTCGCCGGCACTGTGTCGGGCGGTGCCACCAGCAGCAGCAGGGGACCCAGCGCACCCGGCGCCCCGCCGCCCCCCGGCGCGCCCGGCGGCCCTGGCGCGCGCGGCGGCCCCGCCGGCGGCGGCCCCAATGCCGCCCCTACCGGCGGCACGATCGCGGGCCCCAGCGGCGCGGGCGCCGGCGCCGCGGCCGGCGCCGGCGGGGG